TCGGTCAGAATTGCAACCTCAGGACCGACGATCTTTCCCGATGTTCCATGGCGATCAAGCTTGTAGCTCCTCGGTGGCGCGGCAATAGGCATACATTCAGTCATACCGTAACTGGGGAGGACGGCGCAGTGGAAAATATCATGGAGCTGCACGGCAAGTGTTGGAGGGAGACCACCACCAGCGTTGCAGATAAACTGGATGGCACTTTGCTTGACAGCATCGGGGCGGTGCTCAGCTTCAGCAAGAATCATCTGGTGCATTGTAGGTGTAGCATAGTACCAAGTTGGTGTCATATGAGGAGTTTGCACGGCATCCCAGAACATGCTGGGGTCAAACGAGGGGCAACATATTGTGGCACCGCCGGCGAGTACGGGTGAGAAGATACTTCGCATGATGCCACCACTGATAATGTTAGCTGTCTTCCTATAATTTAATTTGGCAGGGAACATACACATGGTTCAGAGGCATCATATTAAGACAGATATCTGTCTCGGACAGTTCGACTGACTCTATGGTAGCCATGGTACCCGCGATGAGGTTGTAAGTTGTGATGGGAACCAGCTTCTTAGTACCACTAGTACCACTAGTGAACAAGATAATGGCGATATCGTCCCCAGAATTGGGGGGATGGTTGTATGCACCAGAAGCATTGTGCGCAGAGACCACCCGGAAAGTCATGTCTTCAAGTTGCTCAATACCAAACACTGGCCGACTGCCATTGTTCAGCTGCAGCTTGCCAATGTCAGCGTCCAGCGCGACAACAGCATCAGCTTGCGAGTTTTCTATATCTGTCTGTAATTGCTCTGGCACCGTGTTCGTTGTCATAGGCACAATGGTGTACCTGTTGACGAAAGCAAGAACAGCGACTGCCATCAGAGGGCCGTTAGGCAAGATGACAGCGATGCGAGGCTTTCCATGACGGGAGAGTCCCACGGGAAGCTGGAAACTCTCCAAGAACTGCCGTATGGCAATATGTGTCAGATGCCGTCCGGTGTTAGCATCGATGAGACCGGCGCGGGAGTCTGTCCCTATTAATTCCGCAACGCTGGGGGTGGCTGCTTTGACTTGTGCACGGAGGTAGGTAATTGATTCATTGTTGTTGGCCTTGATGGATTCGGGAATGGACTTGTAAATGTCCTGAAATGTTAGGATTAGGTGACGGATGGGCCAAGAGCCGGTGTGTAGGGATAATAGAGCGGAGAGTTGACGGCAAGAGTCTGGATGAGAGGCCTCACTGCGGAGGTGTAAAAGCTGTTCTATAAGTCTGTATGACGGTCAGAATTGGAAGAAACTTCAATAGGACATCCAAAAAGGGGTGGAAAAAAGATCATGATAAATGTCACAAAACATACGAAGATCTTGATAAGTCTGCCATTGTATATATCTTTTGTGCAGATAATGTCTCAACTCAACTTGATACACAACCCAAAAAGGAGAAGTCCTTCACGACTTATATGCTGCCCCATTCCCTAGTAACACCCACTACAAACCTGATATAGACCCAAAAGTAGGAGTCCTTCACAGCTTACTGTATCCACTAACGATATCCACCCGATCCACCGACATCTTGCAAGTTACATCACAGACCTCATTGTGATCCCGAAATCATCCATGCAAAGTACGGCGGCAAGCTCGGTCGAGGCTGAGAAGAGAAAGATCCGCAGGGCATCCCGATACTCATGGTCTACCCACGGAATTCCGTTCATGGTCGGATAGATCAGCTTGTACATCACACAGCTGAGAGGATGGTATTGGTCAAAGATAGAGACATCATGTCGTCTATCATCTCAGGGCCGTGATGTGATCGAAAGTCTAGGGCCTTGATAGACATTGGAGTTTCCGGAGGCCGAATGTCAAAATCGGACTCCTGTTTCAATTGAGCTTTTTGTTATTAAACTTTCTGTTTGATATTATTCGAATTTCCTTTTGCCGAATGCAGTAATATACCGGCATGATCTTGATAAGCCAACCTTCAGGATCGCCGTTTCGAATAAACTAGCGTGATTATATGCATATTCTGAGTATATCTCTATACAATTTCACATGAAATCTCCGAATTTCGCTACATGAAGAACTTTCAATCAATGATAATGTCTCTTAAACCACATATGAAGTGGATCTAGGTAGGGCGACACGATAATCGGATTTTAGGATCGCTTCTGATCAGCAATTTAGGCCATTGCCAACACCACCGATCACATGGCTATAAAATGGGAAATGCTCACACCTACTCCATACGCTTCCAGAAGCTCGGGCTTTTGATAGATTTAGGGTAATTACTCGGGCGATCAATCAAAGTATTGGAAGCTATGTCCGGAAAGGTCCACATGGCAGCATTGGCAACAATCCGCCCTACAATTATGTAATTTGGCCATTATCATATAGAATGAAAATGATCTACACTATGTAATGCAAAACATGGAGCACACCTTTTTGTTAATTAATAGCCCACCTATCAGCTGCGTAGATATTTCAGAGTTACATACATCGTACATACGGAGTACCTCGGAGTACCTCGTACTCCGTACGGAGTACGAGGTAGATAAGTGCTGGAGAATCCACTTCCCGAACTAGGGCTTGCCAAGGCTCTTGGCAGGTAATTAGGTTACTTGGCAAGGAAATCGATCCCATGTGTTCACCTATGTAAGTTTCATCCACATTGTTTTCCACTGCGGTCCAGGTTTGGCCATATAATTTTCCCCCAATAATAGGCCGTTCTGAGATCCGTGGCGTGAAAATTCTGCAGCTTCTGCTGGACCATAAAGCTTGGTCTCATCAATAGCATTGAGTTCCCGACGTTGAGGCCGCCGATCTCAACGCGCCGATCTCAAACGCGCCGATCCTAGTGAGGGCAACGCTGCCCAATAGTCAGGATAGAGCGGTCTCGAGTATTCCGTGATTCCAAGGTTCCCATTGCGACTAAAACTGTAAAAATTCAACCCTGCTGTGATCAAGAGTAATTGACCCTGGATTACCTCCACTCCCTATGCATAGCATGCATGGCACGTTGAGGGGTAACACCATTGTATTGGCTGCAGACTGCATCATTCTTAAATCTACGATTGGAGCGCCACTCGATCCAGGTACTCAGTATGGAGTAAGTTCAACGCAGACACAAAGAAGCTTTTCCTCTCTCTATGGAGAGTGACATTGGTCTCGAATCCCGAACATGCCGAGGCCGCTCTACCTTACGTATAAGTCAGGCTAAAGCGGTTAGAACGTTTGGCTAGCCCGTAAGCTCCGACGGGTTATCTAGCTTCCTTATCTGCACACAAATTTCTGTACGGAGTACACCGTCACAGTATGAAAAGTAGCAATGGGGATCAAATCGTACCGAATAAACCTCCAGCGTATAATCGAAGATATTCATTCTAATTGGGGCCTTGGGATTTTGACGGCCCTTTCGAGCCCCGCTGGCGTCCTGTGAGGCGCTTTGAAAGGTATTCGTAGGGCTTATCGTAAGGCCCTTCAGGTACTTTTTGCGGCCACCAATTGGAAGAAGGGAGGCTTCGTATTCTCGACAGGACGAACATTGAGAAACTTATCCAGTTGGATGTTTTTCGTTGTCTCTTGTGCTTTTCGGCCTCTTTGTGAGGACCCCTGTAACTGTAGAATGGGGGCCATTTCAAATAGATAAGCCCTCGTATACGGTATCCTCCGCTGCCCTCAACTATGAAATCTCCAGTTTTCTTTCCTTGCCTCATATGCTAGATCCGGATCCAGAGTTGAATACTACAGGAATTAGGCAGAATATAAGATTTTGTCTAATCAAAATGCATGTCTCCATAGAATATATGTACATGGCGGAAAAAATAAAGTGCGGTAGAAATATGGCAGAATCCTGAATAGTACTAGATCAGGAAGGCGGTACTATAATTCCAGGCCTGTCCCTGAAAACCTAGTTAAAAACCTCGTATTACGTACGCAGCACGCTGGTCCGAGGTTCCAAGATTCCGCAGCTATGAGTATATGTTGTACGAAGGTGCACCGATGGCCATGTTCCTCGAATAGGAATACAATATGTAAATATTTAGAGCACTCTTATCACGAACTTATGGGAGTAAGAGGCGAGCACTGCCTTTTTGAGGTTATTGTATTAAGAGATTAACCAACTAGTAATGGTGACCTCGCGATAAGAGCTGACTCAAGTGAGAAGGGGGAAGAGGTATCAGCCAACACCACACTGCGCCATGAATCAGTACAACACTCCTCCTTCCCCTCAGCACCGCTCATTCAAACACCATCTCCTCAGACCCCACCAAACTATAAGTTTCCGCTGAGTTTTCCTTTGAGTAGGCTGGGGAGATGGCAGCTGCCCTCCGCAGCATCCATACTAGCAAACCGAACGGCTGCTCGAGAGCGCCTCGACGACCGACAGTAGCAAATTCCGACCGCTAATAAATATTAGAGTTGTGTTCTTTGCTGGTATTAACCAGCTTACCTTTGACTCGTGACTTATTTTCAAAAAATGCCAAACGGATCCAGTATACGCCATACCGTAGACACTGCAGTTGCGCTTCTGCTCGTCCTTACGTCCACGGTGGATGCACCCTTTCATACCGATTAGCTTGCTTAAATATAGTTTAATACATATAGCGAGATATAACCCATATATCCGAGGAGTTGGGGAATAGGATTGCTCCCCTTAGCGCCGCCCTTTACCTCAACGATAAGGACCTCGCTCTCGCCATACCAGACTCTATAGCCTGGTCTCCTAGAGAGAATCGCCCTCTTTCGTTTAAGGGTAACTGGGCCAAAAATTATAATCCCTCTCGTATTAGATATTCAACGGCTGCGCATTTTTGATATTTAAAGTGGCAGTCGTATAGGCGTTAAGAATAATAGAGTCAATAACCCACCGAGCACTAGCTTCAGTAGTTCTAGATTGGCTAAAAGCCTTCTCAATAGGACCCATTGTGGTCACTATATTCAATTAGCCAGCTTCCCCCTCTTCTCTATATCTTGGATTACGTACTAAGGTAGGGGGAGAGGGGGAGCGACTATACGTCCTTCATCTCCATATCATGGCTATCGAATTGAAGATAGAGGCACTGTTCTACATTCTTCACGTTTATTTCTGAGATTTGGACGCTCTTATATTGTTTGCTCTTATCCTCTAGTTTGTCGGTTGTTTCCTTGAGCTCATGTCGGTCGATATGGTTGCCCAGGAACTTTCTCGCCGAGGTTTTGAGCTTGAAGAAGAGCTTATGATGCTCTTTAAGCACAATATCTGTGGCAATGATACTTTCGCTGACGGTACCCTCTGTACCCTCCGCACCCTCCGCACCTTCCGTGCTCCAGCTCATCCTGGTAATAATGGGGTTGATCGAGCGTGGCTGAAGAGCTGGTAGTGGTGTGGCGAGAGTGTGGTTGATGGTATTGCTGCGATGAACCAAGTGATGGTGCTATGAGATGTAAGATGAGAGGAGATTGTGAGAAGAAAGAAAGACGGGAGTTTACCCGTGGACCTAGACTAGTTCGATAAGGTTTCGGCTCATCAGCCTTGTGGGGTGCGGCGGGTGATGGACTGCACCAAAGGTATGTACATTGTACAGTGAGCCCAGTATGGGCGACGGATCAGACCACTACGACAAAAGTAATTTTTTGCCGAGTAAAGAATAAGTAATTCATACATCTTACACCTCATACTTGTAATTGCGGAGCTTCGTAACCTTGTGTATATGTCACGTGACGGTTGTTTTCTCTGAATCAATGCGGTGAAATGTCATCGGCCAACTTTGGCAGAATAATCCAGCTGGCAGAATAAATATTGACTAATCTGGCTAGACGATACTATCACATATTTTGCAAGACAGCCACCGGAACTGACTGATCTGTCAAAAAAATCTCCAGAGCATTCCCGTGAGCCTACCTCCCACGGCCGTCAATTCAGTAGCTCGGCTGGTGAGGATGTCCTTATGACAGAGTAGTAGTGATACGATCATACACTCGGCGTTATCTCAATCAATCAATCAAAGTTCAATTAACCTGTTGCAGTCTAACTAGTTACGTATGACTATGCAGGCGCTTCTCCAGCCTACAGCACTAGTGCTGCATGTGACGTTCCAGGTCGATCAATAAAGAAAGAGTGCATATACAACAGAAGAGTGTATTCCGACGAAGATAACTAAGATAAGGAAGAGAGAAGAAGCAAGTGCAGAAGTGGGAGAGGGCCTGCTTATATAGCCGGCACTCTGTAACGCTGCAAATAACAAACATGCAAACCATACAAACATAGCGATCGTAACACTGCAGTACTAAACCAAGGCTCAATAAAAAGGGAAGAAATAGGGTCCTATAAATAAGGGGTTAGAGATACTATAACTTTAAAGCTAGGGGAGTATTAAAGAGGTACCAGCTACCCGTAAGCGACCACTCGGGGTGGTGACGCATACGGGTTATAGTTTGCTGAGCGTGGACGAACCAAAGTCTGTCCTAATGTGACCTACTGTATGGAGTAGTATAGGTTATATACTCTATATGAGCCTTTAGGCGGTAGGGGTAGGCTTATCTGCTTATTTACTTACTTACTTGCTTAATGGCCTGCAGCCGGCTTAGTGGCTACGCCGCGGTTTACTTATTTACTGCAGTGGTTTCCAGAGCAGGATGACTAAGCGGCTATGTGACATAACTAAAAGCACTCCCGAGGCATAGATAGCAACGCAGACACCTTCCACTTCTCTTCTCAGTAATCACCCCATGGTGTTCTCCTCTCTAGCACCCTACTACTCCCAGTGACGACTCTGCTCTCACACCCGTTTCGCAGGCAGGGCTGTCGGTGCCCCTATCCTAGGGACCCCTCTTCAATAAGTAGGATCAGGTGACTAGTGAAGAGGGAAATGCACGATGGGCAGCCTGGCCATGCAGGCAAGACGAGAACGACACAACAACACCAACCATCCAGGGAGGGGTCAGCTAGCAAGCATAGGGATCAAATAGACCACACCATAGCATATGATCTCCTAGTACACAAACATCTCGCAACTCGTTTTTCATTCTTGGGGTGATGATCCTTCTTGACTACCTGCTCCCCGAAACTCTACTTGACAACCAGGCTTTCGTTTTCTCTGCCTGAAGGACAAGGCCACTAAACTAGGCATCCCGACTTTCCCCACTGCACTAGATATATAAAAAGGATAATAACGAGAAATATATTATAACTAAGCAACTTAATCAACTCAATCATCCAATTCATGTAGTCTACTTACACATCAACTGTCCAATCTAACAGCCTTATATGTCTTAACATTATCATTCAATACAGACAACAGTACCAAAATTCCCCAGGTGCTGCAGCACTTATCAAGGCCTAATTATATGGTCCGGCCACTACATACCCATGAGCATACCTCCCACGATTATCCATTCATTAGCTCTGCCGGTGAGGATATCTCTATAGCGGACCGGTAGGAATGAGTACCATTTTTAGCTAAAAATATGTATTGCTTTGGTTTTCAATGAACATCTTGTTTCGCCACTTCATTTAACGTACATATCCTTAGAAATCTAGGTCACCGGCATCGGAATAGAAATCTGCCCAGGCACAAGACTCATCCAAATACGACAGAGCCAAAAATGTAACATCCTAGCACCATGATTGCTAACCCATTGTCCTCGAACGCATCCACATTCTAGAATAGAAAACACAGTGTCACAGTCCCGCAGATATATTGAGGTAGTATATGCTACCTGGCTCCTCGAGATTTCTCCGTACCTCTCGCTATCTGTTGGATATTCTTCCTCCCAAGGATTCAATGGTAGTTGCCTTTCACCAATAAATCCGTACCAGAGTAGTCCTTCATCTAGCAGAGGGTGAACTTCATTCAAGATATTCGTACAAGGGAGTACCACGTCACGTATTCGTAAATAGCCTTGGCTACCCCTCGGTTGAGCTTTCACTTCGGTATATGCCGGACCATTCACGGCCTTTCCATCTTTCTCTATAAATCCAATACACGATCGAGGAGGCTGCTGAAATAACATTCGTTTCCAGCTTGCGCCTTTTCGGAGAAAGACTTCGTCGCTCTGAGGATCGATCTGGGGTATCTTCGCCCCTCCTTCTACTAGCGGCGCTTTCCATTTGTGCGCTTGTCTTGCGCAAAACCATGGCCATATACATTCTTCTAGCAATGGGTTGCGAATTCCCGGCGTCCCGCGTGGTAGAGTATAATTGACGGGCTTAAAAAACAGGGCAGCCTGTAAGTCGCTCGAGTCCCGAATCAGGAAGTGCCATTTACGGAAGACTCTTTGAGCGGATGCGAGTAAAGTGCGCGTGTTAGTTGCGAGTAGGATCAGTTCAAGGATTTCCGTTATCAGGAAAACCTTGTGCGGCTCTAATGAAGCCATATCACAGAGATTTAGGGACTATTCTGTTGAAGGACGATAACTCAATAGGGACAGATATTTTCTAATGAGGGACATTTACTAAAAAGAGCGTGTCAGAGAGACGTCCGTTCCCTCTATGGTACTATGGACAAGTTCATACCTAAAATAGCTTAGTGGTATGCACTTCCGTAGCCTCGCTAGTATACGGCGCGTTGAACTTTGCTGTGGACTAGGAACCGGCGTAGGTACGTACCTAGGCCGAACTACATGTCTGATAGAAGGGTATATATAATTTTCTAGATCAGTGAGCCCTAGATTTTAGATAGAGATAGGATGATTATACATGGACCACTTGACTTACGCTGTTACGAGATAGAAGCATTTGGTAGAAATAATTCAGATTAATTTTGTATTTGGTACTTTACCATAGTGCAAATCAGAGCCGGTCTTATACCCCTAGTCGCGGCTCTGCGTTTTATAGGAAATATTCACAATACGTGAGAACGGTCGATTTACTTAAAAAGACGATGTTGAATCATCCCTTTCGCCGTTATCGCCGTTCCTGATTAGTGATGGATGCCTTCCGCGGAACGGCACGAGTAGATACAGAATTATTTATCACACAGATCGTCGAAGAGATAACGATACAAATCCATTACCGGCGCAAGATAGGTGTACCCACAAATTGCCAAAGAAGCTAGGAAGCTAAGGGAGTAGAAAGCCGGCCATTGGTACTCGGCATACCACACAAGAGTGTGTATTACAGTTAGTTAGCGATGTCCGCACAGATTGTTGAAATTGCGGGTTTTGTCATTTTAGAAAAGTTAGAGTTCTTAATATCAGCCAGGAGAGCCAGAGCCAGAAAGTTGAAGGGCGATAGGGAGGACTTCATAGAACCACGCACAAGGATACACAGCGGTAGGCCTAATAACGTAATTTACGGAAAGAATTTTACAGCGGAAAGACCACGTTTGTACATGGTATTGTGGGAGATAATCGTGGTGATTCCGTATAGGGGATTTTATAGATCTTGTCGAATTTCGTACAGCGTAATTTACCACTAGACCTTAACAAAAACCAAGGTTCCTGTTTAGGGCCTAGAGGGGTCATATCCCATTCTTGACAGATCTAATTAGGACTAGTGCCATACTACCAACCAGCTTAAGCGCATGATTGTTACCATATATCTACCAGTGATCTCGGCGGCCGCAGTCCGCCGAGATAGTCGTGTCGCAGAGCAAAGCGACCGATCCTAACTTCCTATGCTACGTAAATTATGACTGTAGAAGCTCTGGGGAAGATAATGATGGTTCATTCTGTATGTAGGTATGGACCATCGGGACATAAAAATCCCACGTGACTGTATGGTCATAATCTAGCTAAATCAGGTCTGGTCTATTATCAGACCCTTACCTCCGATGAGCGGGACAAGCTGGGCGGCCCTCCCTTCGCCATCCTGAATTTCACATGCCACAATACCGCCAATCCCACTGAAGAAGGCTTCATCTGAATGTATGTTCAGATACCATACCACAAGACCCTCCGCAGTAACTGGGAGGTCAGAGAGCTCCAAGCTGAAGCAGCCGTGTGCACAAAGAGTACGAGGCAGTGACTACACTTAGCAAAAGCAAGTGTCAAGCAGTCCCAGAGCTTTCAGGCTATGGGCAGGATAGACAAGGACCAGAAGCACATGTCCCCAACGGCTATCTGAACATTGCAGATCATTGACTTGGTATATTAGACATTTCGCTGGATTTCGCTTTGCTGCGAAGATTGAGGACCAACCACTATCCGTACTCACCTATGAAATGTGGGGTTTGGCCAAACCCCCTGAAAAGAGCGGCTGGCATCTAAATACGTCGGATTGGATCTGGTGGCGAAGGGGTAGGGACGATAGGCCACTGCGATAGCTTCGAAATTCATATTATCTCGTATCACCAGTACTTCACAGAAAAGGTAGTCCTATGAGATAACATACATG